AAATTTTGTTTATCGTGGCCAAATAAAACGTTAAAAATATCCGGCCGATTGCAAAATATTACCATTTTACCTACTGAGAGAACGATTATGCTATGTTCAAATTTGATTTTGCCGCTCAGCGCTCTTTTTTACCGGATGTGACGTCATTTTTTGTTGGATGATTCAGATACACAAAAAGTGCCAGGCGTCGCAGAGTGTTCTCCCCCGCCCCTGGTGGGAGCAGATAACATGCATGGCGATGCTTCTATATATTTTGTGTTCGTCTATCGGAGAAGAGTATGGGTGTTGGTAAATCTAAGACCCCTCAAAAACTAACACCTAAGACCCCGTAACCCGTAATTTCGTACTACGAAAACTAAGACGCTCGACGTAAACTGATGTATAAAAACGTCGAATTACGGGTTACGTGTCATTTTTTGCTGTGTAAACGCCATTGCAGCGCGGGAGCTTATGTAAATTCCGTTGTCAGTTGCCAGTCCTCACCAGCTGGGGAAGCTTGAACTTCCGAAACGTCGATATCATTCGAGATCGTACCCAGTCTAACAAACAAGAAGTCTTCTGTTAATTTTAGCTCATTTACATGCATTTATTTCACAATGCTTCCCGAATTACAAAAATGGTTATCTTGGTAGACTTATCTTCGTGTCTTCGTTTTCTGAGGGGTCTTCCGTCTTCGTTTTCTAGGGTTTCTTCGTTTACGAGGTAAGGTATTCGTTTTATAGGGGGTCTTCGTTTTCGAGGGGTCTTCGGTCTTCGTTTTCTAGGGGCTCTTCGTGTCTTCGTTTTCTAGGGGGTCTTCGTTTTCGAGGGGCCTCCGCTTTCTAGGCGTCTTGAATGAAACTATATATATCGGCTTTCCACTTAATATTACACAGAAAGCAGGAGCCCATCCTATCAGGGACAGAAATAAAATATAGAGATTTTGGCAAATAAATGCACTCCCGTTGAAGTTAAGGGGGCAGTCTGGTTAAATGCCTTGTTTTTCCTATATTTCAGCACTTTTTCATAAAAATCTCGCCCAGATTTCATTCAGTCGAGAAAATTCCTCAACAAGTTTTGAAATCCTTAGCACAGTCAATGTTTGAGAATTTTTTGATGATTTGTGGATTGTTTTGAAGGAATAAAAGTTGGGGGGCCT